AATCTTCCTCTCCCACATGGGGGAGGAAGATTGCGTGACGAGCCCAAAGACCGTCTGCGTAGGAGGCTATTGTGCACCCTATATCGCCTGTTTTTTAGATAATACATCTAGTAAGGCTGACCGAAGAACACTTGTCTTCACATCGGGTAAACAATAATAGCAACTTTGGCCACCTAATAATTAGTTTGTTCAAAGTTCTAAAATACTTTTGATTTTTCCACTTATGTAACGACTATGTAATAAGGAACTAAGCTGCCACTACTGGTCAAAATTCGAAACTGAAAGTGTGTTGCACTTATTATTACATTTAACAAAGAAAGAAGTTTTTTCGACTCAATTTTCATCGTCTGTTGGATGGAGACTTGAACGATTCTTTGATCTCAGCCACCTGGTCCCGAAGTGTAATAGCGAGCCAAATGGTTATGATCTGTAGCAGGAAAATACCGAACGACGCAATCCCGATAGTAATTAGATTGTTTTTGAACCAGTTAACAGCGGTCGTCAAACAACCAGTTGTATAGATCCTCTTCTCTCGCTCGATGGTATCCATTCCTCCAACTCCAAACCCACACTGGCTGTTGATCCTGTCTTCTTCAGTCTTACAGCATGTTTTCGGCACACCGCATGCCTCTGCCCCCGGCGAAGAACAGTTGAAGTACAGGTTTGCCTGCCAGTCTTCATACGAGGTGATTCCACAGCATTTGAATTCAGTTTGTACAGTCTCTATAATCAGCTGCAAGTCTGGTTTATCTGGATCACGGTAAAGATTGATTGCTTCCTTTAACTTTATTTGGATGTTTTCCTCCACCTTTTCGCGGAAGACAAAGCCTAAAGTGCCACAAGCAACCTCGATTAACAGAAGCACGCCAACAATGATGCCATAACAGCATAACATGGAAGTGTTCTCTCGTAAAGCGCCTAGACATCCGAGGAAGGTAATAAGAAACAATGCTCCGCCGAGAATCACGAACAGCACCGCAGGGTCAAACGACAGATCACTCAAACTTTGGTAATCTACGTCTTTGTCGACCATCATGTACACTCCGACTCCAAGGATTAAGATCGCAGCTAACCAGAAAAGAACATTTAAGAAAAACAACGCGAATTTGATGCATTTTGAAGGATCTTCCGGAGAACTAGGTCTTGGACCGATTCTGCGGCGTTTGTTTTGCATCTTCACCAAGTTGTTTCCTTACGATGATCTGTCTTGAGGTAATCTGTTTAGACTTGGATAAACTCGGTTGCGATATGATCTGCCGTGTTCGCTTGATATACTGACTTAAATTACTTGACTAAGACTGAAGATTACGAGGCAAAGGAAAAAAATTAGATCTCCTTCGTTCGTCTTTGCTTGGATCGATACTTGGAAGACTTCGGCGGCTGCGAGACTTGACAAGGATTATGGATGATCCTCGACCTCGCTCGTCTGACTCTTGATTAAAATTTGCTTTTAAGCTCTGAATCAATTGCCAAAAACTGTAAAGGAAATACAACATGTTTAGGATCTGGGAAAAAATTAATTTCAGTAAAAACGACGACGTTGAAATGTCGCCCTTCTAAAATAATACGGACAAATAACACACTATGATTTGCAGTGGGACTTAATGACAGCTGTAGAAACGGCTTAACTTATCCCAACCGAAGGAAAGTTTAAAGTTTGGCCGACAGTTGATAAAACGATAGGAACTTGAACAACATACCTTCGACACGATATATTCCACGAATAGTTGACAGGAAACTGAACAATTTAAATCCTTCAGGAGCCTTGTTTATAAGAAATTTGCATAAAAAATGCGGAAAATTTGACCAACAGCGTTGATGACTTAGCAACCCAAGAAATCTGAATATTCATTTTGTTGTTACATAATTTGCTTTGAAGGCTTAATGACGTCATAGTGATTAGATTGGGTCAAGAGTTTACGAAATCCGATATATCTGATGTAAACAATATAAAACTATGTGGCGCTCATCAAAGATTACTCTTCAAGTCACATTGATGTGTTCTAGTCAGTCTGTATGTTGAAGTCCCATAGGACTTTTGCATGGTCGTTCTCCTAGACCTTGACCGTTTTACGAAGGCACTGACGAGTTATTACAATTTTTATTAATATTGTTATCACTATCTTTATAGTTGTCGTTATTATTGTGATTGTCATTGTTATTTTTAAAATCACTATTGTTATTATACAATTCTCTCCAGTTTTTTTTTGTTATTTGGGTCTTCAAACTCAAGTCCCAGGAGCTCCTGCAGCTTAGGGGCACAACACTTTCCGCAACACGAGGGCAGGTTCGAGGATAGCCAACAACTGTGCACTCTAATTATATTTACTGTATATCTATCTTCCCATGCCAGGTCTTTCCTCGAGATAGTTCCAAGTTCACGTTAGACACCACTATCACACTTTTTGGTGCTTGATGAATTCTCTGACTTCGAATGCTTGGTCTTGATACTTCTTCACCTCCTTCTCAGTCTAGTGATGATAATATGGTCTGCTGGCACAGCGTCTGTAAATAAACAACCACTCCTAAGGGTCTTCATGCACTGCAGTAATGTCTGGCTAATTGTGTTGCAGCTCCTTGTCTATGAATACAGTACGGTGTCCCAGGTTATCCTCACTGTTTCATTGACTGCGATAAACAAGGGATTATGGTTGTAACTCTTACCAGGATGTTGTATTTATTTCTATTGTGTTATTGCTATCATTATTTGCAGTAAAAACGTCGACGTCTATATGCCATATACAATAAAAGTAACATGAGGCGCCGAAGCGTAGCCCATGAGCTAATCAGTGAATAAAATAGAAGCAAAATCTAACATTATAACTAAAAACTAACATCATCGTTATAAAACCCATTAAAACCGATAATATATATATATATATATATATATTAGATTGTCCTTCTTTCCAGAGTTCGCCTACGATTTAAATTACCACTTTATAAGTGCGCGCTATATTTAGAGTTCCTGAGAGACACGCCTTCTGCATCTTCTAGCACACCTTTAGCTTTACTGCCTACTAGCTTCTATCGAGTGACATCCAAGTCCTTGGACCACCCCCCGAGTGCATCTAAGATGATATTGCACTGGTTGATCTTGTTATTATTATTATTATTATTATTATTATTATTATTATTATTATTAGACTTTGCATTTCCTTTCTCAAGAGACTTAAAATTACTGCCATTGTTATCACTATAATCATTTTTATCATCATTATTATTATCATCTTTATTATTATCGAAATGCTCGAGAAGTAAACGTAGACGAGGTGTGTTTTTCTTAGCTTCTGATGGACATTTTAATGTGTTGTTCGATTTTTAGGGTTTTTATCAAACTTTTGTAAATATTTTTGGTGATTTTAAATAAAGTGAGGATTTCTTCATTATTATTACTATTATTATTATTATTATTATTATTATTTTAATTCTCTCCAGTTAATCGTCGGGTGTTCCACTGGGTAACGTTGTTTGTGTCTCGGCAACTACCCGTAACTCAGTCAGAAATACAACACTTTTCGCAACAGATAAGCAGTTCCAAGGATGGCCGATAATTGAACACTTCCAAGGAAGTCAGGTACACCTAACTTGCCAAACCAGGCCTTTGATCTTTTCGATATGCACCAATCACGATAGGTATTATTGTGACTTTCGAGGCTCCATGGATCCTTCTGATTTCGTATGCTGGTTCCTGGTACTTTTCCGCCTTCTCTCCCTCGGTCCGGGTGATGTTCTGACCCGCTGGCACAGCTATGTCAATAAGTGTAATTATTATTCAGTATTATTATTATTATGTCGCAGAGAAATCAACTGAATGCTACATTCTAATCAGGCAGCACAGGGCGAAAACCGTAAACTGTGAGCCATGGAGAAAAAAATAAATGTACATTAACTAATCCTAAAAGGCTTTTCCGTTGTGTCTACGGTCCTCCTTCTAACAGGAATTCAAACTGCCACCTTGAAAGTACGGGCAATATTCAGCGTGCCCGAGAGCACTGCCCTCTCCATCTTTCGCAGTACGTCTGTGCTTCTGCCTCCCACCAGCTCGCGCATCATGACATCCAGCTCCCGTGACCACCCCCCGAGGGCATCCATAATGATGTTATATTGCTTCACCTCGTAGCCTGGGAACTGCTGCCTTAGTTCCCAGCGAAGGGGTCCGTACTTATTATTATTATTGTCATTATTATTATTATTATCATTATTATTATTATTATTATTATTATTGTTATTATTTCAACTTGACAGTTCTGTCCCAGTACACAGGCATACGATGAATAACGGCAAAAATCATTCTGTAACGACCTCTCTTGACTTCGTACTTTGGCATTTGGACAAATGTTATGTTTATTATTAGTTCTTCATAGGGATGGACTTCATTACGAGTAAGAGCTTGTATCTTTGGCTCATTCATAAATTGTCTATCATGTGTAAATTCATCAAAAGATCGTGATTAAACTTTCGGTTTGCACTAGTTATGCTTTAATTTACGCTCTTCGTAACGTTCATCAAAGTATCGTATTTATCGTATTTATCGTATTTATCGTATTTATCGTGTAGTGTCCTAGAACCCAGTTGACTATCTGGTCATCGCGACTGTTGTATCGTGTAACGCACAGGTGTGTGTTTAATTACTTTCTTTTACTTGTTCATTTGATAAAAGGAAATTTAAGGAAAAAAGATTCGATTATTCATTATCAATTATTTGTTTATTTATTTATTATCTCCCGAGGTTACTGCGAAACGAACAAAGGCTTTTGATTTTCCTTTGAAAATTTAGGCTTTTGATTTGCCTTTGAAAATTTTATCAAAAAAACCGATTCTTTGTTTAGTCTGTATTCTGTGGGCAATCACTTTCTCAGCTACCTCTTTTACATAACAAAAGTAATTTGTAGTTAATTAGTGAACCCTCTTTGAGTCTAATGAATGGAAGATGTCCCTCGAGAGGAACCTACATTTAGCTCCCATTTCATGACGACCATAATTGTTTGCTTGTTTTGTCAATGGCTACCTTAATAAGCTACATCGCAGCAATTTTACCCCGACTTCTCTTTGTGGCTCACAGTATTGTTGCCTTGTGGCTTCTTGTATCTTTCAATCCAGGACAGACGATTTTTTGGGGTTTCTGTGTCGGCCTGGTATGCCTGTTTGTGGAGTCCATTTACACCATTATTGTACGCAAAGGAGTGGAGTACAAGTAGTGAGTATATCATCTTCCAAATCATGAAAACCGAGTGTTGTTCGTACCTTTACTTTTGCTTTTTGTGATAGATAGATAGATAGATAGATAGATAGATAGATAGCTAGATAGAAACTTCATTAACGTGTCAAAGAACCTTCTAGTTTGGGAGATATCGCACACTAATTTGGGGACACAAATAAAATGGATAAACATTATTTACAAAGAATATTACCTACTTAAGAATAAAATTAAGTCATATCATGCATGAAAAAAAAAAAATTAAATAAATTAAGAATTACATAGAGCACAGCCCCTGCAGCCATCATCTAATAGAGAGCTGAAGTCACTGTTACGTATGCGGTTTTTGAAACTAGCTGATGTCGTGGCTGATCTGTCATGAGTTGTCAGTTTACGCCATAAATTAGGTCCTAAATAGCGTAGTGAATGTTTGCCGTAAGTTATTGTGTTGTATCTAGGAATAGAAAAGTCGGCCTGTTTTAAATTATAGGAAGAGTTGTGTTTCTGAAAGATATTACAAATATTCAAAGGGCTAGGGTTGTGTTTAACTTTGTACATTAGAATGCATATATCCTGTAAGCGTCTGTTTAATAGCGAAGGTAAATTAGCTTTCGATCTGCAGCAAACCGGCGTTCATAGTTGGAGTGTTTATCTTTGAAAACAGTCCTTAGGCCTCTTTCTTGAACTCTCTCCAATCTGCGACTATCGCTAGATTTACAAAAATGCCATGTGAGATGGCAGTAGGTTAGATATGGTAGAATGGCTGCCTTAAAAAGTTGTAATTTTGCATTAATTTGTTGGAATCAAGTTGCGGAGTCTCATAAGCACACCAATTCTTTTGACTGGCTTTGTTACATATAGTGTTTATCTGATTATTGAAATTCAAATTTGAGTCAATTGTGACTCCGAGAAATTGGAGAGTAGCGGCCGTGTTGATTTTCTCATGTTATGAAACATACTGCGGGTATGTTTCATAACATGAGAAAGAAATCATAACATTGGTTAACAAGGTCTGTATGTGCAGATCACTGAAATACTCGAACAAATCAGTGCAGTTAACTCTTGGTGTTTTACAATGCCTTGAATATCATTCACTCGCACGCCTTTTGACTTTCTGGCTGAAACTTATACATGTACTAGTGACACTAATCGAAAACCCTTGGGTGCATTTAATTTGTACTTTCTATAAACGGTTTTGTAGTAGCGGAGAAATGATTGAATGAGGGATTAAAGATTTCAGAAACGCTCTTTTCCCAAGATTCAGTTTCACAGATCTTTTTAAGGCAAAAGTTTTGACAACAATAGTGTATGAAATAGTCGAGTTCTGCTCATATCAGACTGGTATCCAGTGTATGAAATAGTCGAGTTCTGCTCATATCAGACTGGTATCCAGCTTATGGTATTTTGTGTAAACAGTTTCAAAGGAATGTACTTTTACCTATCCTGTCTGTTCTGTGGTCTTAAAGGATTAACAGTTTTGATCAAACGTTTCATAAACGTGTCATTGTATTAACCAGACATGTTACTGACATGAGCTTGCTCGTGCATTACATGCCAGAGCTTGTAAAGAGTTCGTATCTCCCAACAAAACATACGCCGAGTTTCTGGAACATGAAATTCTAATGTCTTATTCCACGCCTGTTTATCAGGGTTTGGTAAGTTTTTTTTAGTTCAATTTAGCGTAATGCCCCCATTTTTTACCCGCCGTTAGCAGACTCGCAAGAGTTTAGACTAATCTAACATCCATCTCCGGTCGCTACGGCAAAATTCATCACATTGAATATTCTGTAGGTGTGGAAAACCCATCTTGGAAAGAAAAAGAAAAGAAATCTAAAGGAAGCAGTTTGTTATTGGGGAACTAAGAATTGCTAAAGTTGGTTGCCTGGACCGTCGACTGATATTCTTTTTTTTTTCTTTCCAATAAACTTTCTCTAACATCTGATCAAACTGGGATCGCGTTTTATGAAGTATTGCGGTACCAATGGTATCGCTCATTCGATCAGAGTTAGTAGAGGGGACCCTACTACTCTGCTCCCATGGATTAATCCTAAGTCGATATTCTATGGTTTATTTAAATCGATGTCCTCCGTCAGAACCATAACTTGCCGGGGTACGGTGACTCAGCTGAAGCTTCATAACTCAGTTTTCAACTACCCATCACTAAGGAAATGACCAGAGTTGAAGAGAATTCGTGGCTTTTTTTTTTTTATTTTTTTCTTTTCTTGAAAATTGAAGAAAGTTGAAAGTTATCTAATGTTTCAACTAGAAAAGGAGTCTAAAACGTCGCTGTACCTCAGTGCGGACGTTTGACAAGATTAATTTTCGGAAAGCGTTCGTCAGGTTAACAGTTACGAAAGGAGATACCCGAACTATGTGGGCAGAAATACATTTTCACTCTGTAAGATTCTTAAGACTCAGTTCTTTCATTGTGGCTCATGGACATGATAAATGAGGCACGATGATTAATCGGAGGCAGTTGTACGTCGTTCACTCAGTCTTTCACTCTAATTTCATTGAATTTTTTAATCAACTTTTTGGTACCTCATCTAAGTGTTTTGGCTTTTCATTCGTTTGGCAGGTTTTAAATGGATATTAAAAAACTAAAATTTCCTCAATGTGAGGAGTGATCAAAATAAATGAAACGGCGTGTGCAAGGCCTGCTTTGAAGTATTTCATTTTTTGCAGTACATTGCGGTTGAATATAGTTTGAGAAGTGTAATAGAAACAAAAACAGAGGCCATACGAAATTTAGCGTGCGTTATGGTCCGTTAACTAAATCTGATTTCGATTTCACGGTTATACTTAAATAGCAAATTTTATTAACATATTTCGAAAAGTAATCATCTGACCAGTTTTGTCAAGTTAACGACGAAATGTTTTTGGAGGCCTACGATATACTCTTTATTCACTATGCTGGTGGTTTGATTGTCTCGTTCGAGAAAATTTGAACTCAGACAAAAGCACACGAACCTCTTAAGAATCAATGGGTTGGGCCAGGGTTCCATGCTTCTCGTTGGATTTACTGCTGCAGTCACAGAGTATCATCCAAGTGATCTTAGACTTTTTCACCACTTCATGAACTTTCAATGACTTTAACTACTCCAACCATGACAATAAATCCCTACACTGAAGCTCTAGTCCCACCAAATAATTTTCTGTGCTGTGAGCCGGCATAACCTCTGGTTTAAAATATGCGTGATTTTCTTTGTAATGTTTGGTTTAATTTCCACCTCTTCATTACAGCTTTTGGCCTAGTTGTTTTTTCTACCTATGTACCCTTCTGCCCATTACTTGGTCTGCTGAGTTAACTCTACTGGAAGGAAGAGTAAATAACGTAACTGACGAGAAAATGATGATTGTGTCCATGGCGCAAACGGTAAGTCAGCAACAATGAAGACTAAAGCGATAACAGTCTGACTTTTCAATGGCCAGCAAAGTTGGCCGAATATGCTGCAAAAAGTCGGACTGCAAACAATTCAACTCGCAGTAATATCTGAGCCTTGCTGAGGTAATTAACGAGAACTACACTGATTTCACTCCAGTAGCTTGACCTCACTTTAGTTCAAAGGATGTATTACACCGACATGGCTATATCTCTGATTTAACAGTAGCCGTTCTGTTTCAAACACGCCGCGATCACTAGTTTGATAAGCGTGGAAAACGAATTTTTTGGAGAGGTACTTTTAATTTTACTGAGGACATTATTTCCGATTCTGTAATCGTGGCGTAAGCAGTGTTCTCTACGGAAAGAGGCTAGGACACCTGCAAACTCAGCAGCGTTTTCTTGGCATTCCAGATCATTTCGCTATTTCAAGCAGGGCTTTTGTGCAAACTGAGTTGTATCATTAACCGAACCAGAGCATTTACCTTTACAGGCCCGTAGCCAGTATGAGGCGAACCAAGGCACTCGCTTCGGTTGAAATTTCCAGTAATATTTTTACGCCTATGTATTTAGTACATTTATAGCAAGCACCCGCCACAATAACAACAAAAAAAGTTAAAGGAATCTATTAATTGAATTCCACGAAAATGCTATACTACAATTTTAGAGCCTCCACGGTCTCGCCTTAGCCTACGTACAGAACAGCATTCCCCTTGACCCGCCTCAGTTTTTACAGCGTTGGGACAGGCCACAGAAGACTCGCTCTTGTATTCAATTAGTTTGTATTTCACTGATCCTTCGGTGAAACTTATAAGTTTCAACACAGTTATATTTGCTACTGGGCTGAGCGTTTCCGCGCGACACCTTAGGTAAAATATGTAATCACTCAAGTAGTATGAAATAGCGACCCTGAAAGTAATCGCTGCCTCCGTTACAATACGATTGAAAAAGAAGATAATTTACATGCATAACATTTTCGAAACATTTGATTAACAGCGCAGTGTTGGCTTTTGTCAGAACCACCAATTCGATTGTAAAATTCGATTCTAGTGGCTCTTTTAAAATAGTGCCTCGGTTGGAAAATTTTTCTGGCTATGGGGCTGCTATAGTCAAAGAAAAAAAATGGAGTCTGCAACAACAAAAAGACAAAGGAACAAATAGTATAGTAAGACCTTGATGTTTACAATGCATGTACAAAACTTGTAAACATCATGGAATCATCTTTTTCTTGTTTAACTCTAATTGTGAACATCGACTTCCTGCTTCAGTTCTACTTTGGTCAAGAGGAGCTGAAGAAGTTTTGTGAGATTGGGCTGATGTTAATCATCATCTTGGGTCGGTGGATACTTCCTCGTGGTGTAATTACACGTGACCAACTCTCGATCCTTCTTCTTGAATACGTGGCCATTGCAGCTGATATTTTAGAGTTGTTTGAGGCTTTTGAAGATGATCAGGTAGAGATATTTGTAAATTTAGAGTTTCATACAATACAATTGTCTGCAATAAACAAAGGCATCTTTGCAGAACTTTCACATGAAGAACATTCCTTTAGCCTGTTCGTAATGAAGAGCGACTCATTTGAGCTTATCCTTTCCTAATTTTGGATTTATTTATAAAAAGAAAAAAATGTTTGTAGTTCCATTTTGGTTTGATTGCAGGTAGCCCGTAATAAGGATATAACATTGGCTACCCTGGCTGTGTTTTCATGGAGTCTTTTTCAATTCACTTTGGTTACTACATCAATGGGGAAGAAAACTGATGACCAAGAAGACAATTTAGATCACGTATGAAATAATTAGTAAACTGAGTTTGAACATCTATATTATCTCATTATTTGCCTTAAACTTGCCACTCACGTTTGAGTCTTGATTCTCATTTTCTTCAGAATGGAAACGATTTACGGGTTGAAGATGGTTTGAGCAGAAAATATCTCCGGAAAGCTGCTCATGCTAAGAAACGCGAAAGCCGAAGAAAACGACGAGAGACGTATCAACTGTACAATGAAGACGATGAAATGAGAAAACTTGAACTCCAAGGAGACCGATATGGTATCATAGCAGCCATGTTTATACAAGATGGCCCATTCTTAATCCTTCGACTTTATCTGGTCTTCAAATACGACTTCCTAAATGACTCCAAATTTTCTTTTTACATCGGCAAGAATTTCATTTCCCTACTCCTGATGATATATCGTCTTTACGTAATTCACTTTCATGCCAAAGAGGAGGAATTCACCTTACCAAGGAAAAAATCATTTCGAAGCCTTTCCTTCATGCTGATTGGAGTTCAGAGGTTCAGGTCAAGAAAATCAACGCGAGGAAACAAAGCCGATCCAAGAAGTAAAAGACTACGACAATTGCAATGGATCCACAGAGTCTACAGTGTCAACAATAATTGCTAGTTAAAGCGGTGACAACCTGCTCAAGTTTTCGAAAAGGGTCAGTTTCTGACAGCCAGTTACCCTCACCCGTACGACCACATCACGACACCACGCAATCAAATGATTCTTCTCCTCTTAGTTTCGAAATATATAGAGCGTACATATCTAAATATGTTTTGGTAACCTATTGCATTTTATGTAGAATGGCTGAATAGAGAAAAAGAGTCTTTTTCTTTTTTTCTCAATTTCAAATTCAGTTGAAATAAATATATATTTTTCGTTAAAGTTGAACAAATACAAAATGTATATCAAGATGCCACTTCCTGTATTAGAATGAAAAGTTTTACACTTTTTTTTAGGTAAGTATATCTTTACAAATTCATTTAGTTTAGATAGTAGCTGAAATAGTAACAAGATTACTACTTGTCTCTGGACTAGACTCTGACCATCTTGTGAACATGCCACCAAAGATGATAATCTCCCCCCTAGCAACCACAACAGAATGTAAAGAAGTAGCAGGAAGAGTGCCTTGCATTTCTGGGGGAGGTTTCCAAGAGCATGAGAAATGTGAGCGTATTTGACTGCAGTCTAAAATAAATGTCTGCATGGGCAAAAACCCATCAAGGCCTGGCCTCTGCCCAACTCCTAGACTGCCTTCAGGAGAGAGTACATGTCCTTGATGGCGAGGAACACTAAACACAAGGACTGTGCCTTTGATGTAGACTGCAGGATGACACCATAACTGGGGGGCTTCCCACTGACGATTATTCACTTCCAACTCTTGCCAGATCCATTCATTTGTGTCCAGAATCCAAACATCCCCAAATAACTAAACCAGAAAAATGAACTTTACAAGCAAACACTATCTCAATTGACTTGAAATGTACTACTTAGAGTCAAACAAAAACCTCAACGACAAGCAAACAAGATACAAACAAGTGCACATATATAAATACAACTTATGTGAGCAGAGTATAAACCAAAAATGTTTCAAAACAGCTTCTATGTCTCTTATTCTTAAATGGATACAGGCATGTAGCGTCCTATACGCATATACGCATGTGTGTACTAGAAGTGACCAGGAAATTTTGAAAACAATGTTGTGTTTGCGCCAAGTTTTCTCAAAATAAGGGCAAGATGCTTTGTTCTTTGCTTGTATTCACACAACTACTTCGAACAAGAAATAAAGAACGCAGTACTTTTCGCTCAGTTTACTTAGGTTCCTAGATCATATGTACCTGTGCGTACTTGAAAAAATGACCACGCTATGCACCTGGGATAGCTTTTGTAAAATCTACTCTTTAATTGCATAACATTCAAGCAAAACAGAAGAGATTGCCAGAGATAATTAACAATTATTCACCCAAGTAGAGATGAATAGTGGGGATGTTTACCCACCAGCTTTACATCTCTGTAAATATCCACCACTCCACACTGAAAAATTGTTGAAATATATACCACACAGATACCAAAAAAATTTCTTTCAATATACTTAAGGCTCAAGCCACTTAGAGGCTTTGAGACAATCTTTCCAAGCAGAAAACTGGGCAACAAAAAATATTCTTCCTATTTGCTCAAAAGTAATATGGTAAATACTATGAGGCTATACAAACTAACAGTTGGTGCTCACCAAGTTTGGTCCACCACATCCACCAATCATAAGTACTGTGTGATCATCTAACACCATCTAATGAAAATTTCAACCAAGTCAAAAATTATGTTTTCTCCTCTTTGTAAAGGTAAACCTTTACAAGGAGGAGATGACACAACCACAAACACAAAGATAGGAAATGGTAATAATATTTTGAAAACAAGCACAGAAATAGATGAAAAAGATGAGATTGTTTTAAGGTACCACACTAAATTTTCTCCATAACTATACCCAATGGATAGCATTAGGCCTCACATACAGCAATTTAAATCATCCTACAATTTGAGCATTGTAAAATGAAAGCTGCCAAAAAAAGGCCCATGCATTTTTTTTTCCTGGCCTTAAGTTTGTAATTCTCACTAACAACAGCTTGCTCTCTTTTTATGTATTTTTTTCCTTCAAAATCACACTTTTCCTAATCCAAATTGGTGAACACATTCATTCTGTCACTTGTCATTGGTAAAAAGGGTAATAGTTCTGACTGGTACTTTTGCAAGGACCTTTTTCCCAATAGGCTACTCGTCAATTTTCTTTTTCATTTACATGGAGCACTTTCAGTCATTTCAAGCTGTATTTGTTTTTTTAACATTGGGTTTACCTGGTTCCTGAGAGATTGGCAATGATAGTGATGTCGTTGATAGACTAGTGAGGATACAGAATACTTGCTACTAAGGTTCTGGATGTTTACAAGTGGTGCATTTTCCAATAAAACACTTGGTCCATACAATGAAAAAGATTATTACTCCAATAATGATAAAATTAATACTGTGACTCTGTAATTGAAAAGGTAAATAAAAAAAACTGTCCCACTGCATTGCATTACATGCAGACACATAATCATACTTGAACACATTGCCTTGAGTCATTCAAATACCTGTGAATGGCCAAACCTTCCAGATGGCTTTTTTCCTCTTATACTGGGACAACTCCATGTCATGTTTACCATGTCTAAAACCCAAACATCATTGAATCTAAGGAAATTACAAGTTCAGGTAAAAACATATTAGTGAGGGTGACATGGCTCACATCTCATATGCTTTGCAGTCTTGTTTTGGGCTACTTGATTCCTTCCTGGAGCTTGTAGCTACATTCAGTGTGTGAGCATGATTTTAACAAAACTGATGGTACTAATCATATACTTAAGGTATCACAGAAGGAAAAAAAATTTTTTTTCAATTTCCTGAAAAATTTAATATCTGAGATAGAAATAAAGATCTATCATCTTCTGAAAATTCTATTTTGACATGTTTTTTACTTCAGGAGATGTAGAGCAAAAAGTAATTTGAGAGTAGAACAAAAGGTACAAGATTGATGACACATCATGTGAACTTGTTCTCATCACCTAATAGTCCATTTTACAGTTGTGTGCTTGGTTGCCAAGCCTTTGAATGGGAGAGAGGCTAGAGATGACCTTGTTATGATACAAACCTTGCTGCCTTTCAAATGTAAATCCCTTTGTTATCATGCTAACTAGATACAGGTCTCTTTCACAACAAGGTCATCTTTAGCCTCACTCTGAATCAAAGGCTTGGCAACTAAGTATACAACTGTAAAATGGCCTATTAACGATTTCAAAACCACTCTTGATTTTCAATGCCCACTGTACAGTTTTGTGCAGTTCTAAAATCACTCATTTAGTATCACATATACTTATATTGGTTCTTTCTGAAAACTAGATATATAACAAGATTGTTTTTGTAATTAAAGTGTTGTTTTCAAGCTATATCATGTCCAAAAGCGAGCATCGATTGTGGAAAAGCTGTATTGCATTTCCAATGTAGCTCTCCTTCCTCAATCTGAACTCTTTTCTCCTCTCTTTCTTCTGGTTGAAGCACCTTTCATGTTGACATAAACAGCTCCATATTCACACATTACACTTAACCTGCTCGACCTAACTACTAACAAACTGTCTCCACTCTTTGCTTTCTTGCATGCATTAGCACCAACAGGCATAACAGTGACAAATGGCTGGCTCTAATGTGATTGGATAACAGCCTTCACAGGTGTGAAGTGGGAATGCATTTATGTAAAACAAATGCCAACACCCCGAAATACTTCAAGTTGCTTTATCTCATAAAATGTTTTCGTGTGAGTACTGAAATTTGAAGAGTTTACTCTGGCTGATACTTGGTCAATTTTCATGAGATTTGGAGATAATGTCAGAAATATAATGAACCCAACAACTTCCTCTGGAAATGTTGATTTATTCCTCACTTTTTTAGATATAGCCTCTATATTGAAAACTTTGTTCAAACACACTTCTTTGAAGTTAAATAATGATTAAAAAATAACTAAGCCTTCAAAGAGTAATCCCAGACACACTTTTTTAGTTCAATATGTGCAGATCACATTTCAATAAAAGACATAAGGCATTGACTTAAAGCATTGTCAAATAAACCTATCTTGTAGACTGTCTCGGTGTGAAAGAATAAGCTCCCATTCTGTTCAATGGCAAAAATAAAAAAAATAAATGGAATATCCAAAATCAGTGTTTATTAAGCTTAAAGAAAATATATACTCTTATAGGTAGGAATAGCACAATTAATTATCATGCTATTTCAAATTGAATTGCATCATTAAGTAAAATCTTGCATTCTGATCGCTTTGCCATTCATGCCATGGCAGTTTTCACTTGCAATTTAATGCGAGATTCCCTTGTCAAGTAATGAATTTTCCTATAGAATGAAAACACTAATTTTCCTTCCGTAATACCTTCATTAATACAGAACCAAAGAAAACTGCCTTGGACAAATACTGCCAAGAAACCCAAATGCATAACCTTCTTCAGAAATGTAAACCAAGATGCCAGGTTACAAAATGTAATGATACCAAAGCCACATAGTCCTATGAAATTACTTTTCAAATTACAGGAGTCATGGAGGCCAATGAACATACTTAAAAAGACAAAACCTGTGCAGCATTGGTCCTTCACTCCTTTAGAGATTAGAGTTAGGAGAGCTAGCAGGAAAAAATCTCTATTACTTTTATCATGTCAAATTTTTTTATACAAGTTACACAATTTACCACCCCAATTAAAAAACATAGCTTCTGCCAAGTACGCAGCTGTGGACAGCTATTGCTGGATATCATTTAAAATACTCTTACCAAGTGTTAATGGGAATGGGAAATAAAATTCTTTTGTGCACCTCGGTAATGTTAAAAGTATGGAGACCAATAGTAAGAACCAATGATACTGCCTGAAGCTGCGCAAGTTACAGGAATGTTGTTGAGGCATCTGAACTAGGAATTGAGAGCTATCTCCCACTAATTTACACGCAACTGCAGTGATACTAAAATTGCAACATAGTCTGACCTCAAGTGTCTTTGAGCTCCTCCAAACACCACCATTCTGTGACCCAAAGCACAAGCGGCATGCCCAGCTCTCTTGCATGGCCGTGGTCCATTGAGGTTAACAGCAGGTGAACTCCATGTCTGACTATTAGTGTTGAAAATGTATAGGTCATCAAAAAATTTTGCTGCAGAATTGATTCCTGTTCTGGCAGGCTGACACCAGCCCCCAAATATAACAATGTCCCTATTATCATACGCTACAACAGTGGCACATTCTTTCGGAGGAGGAGGACATCCTGAGCTACGAGGCTTCCTCCATCGCCCTTCCCTTAGATCAAGACAATGAAGATCATTAAATGCCTTGTTTGATGAGGAGCAACCTCCATATATGTACATTTCAGTTCCTATGATACAACAACTGTGGGAAAACCGCGGAAAAGGTGATTCTCTCGACTTTGTGGTCACTGTTTGAAGTCGTAAATTACCACTTCTCACAGCGTCGCGAAAATTTTGTATACGCTGATTGCAAATCCTAGCAATCAAACGATACCACAAACGACACACGCATTTAGCGTCACATAAGTCACCATATGGTGACAAGTAAGACATGATCTTTTCTACGATCTCGTTAGGAAGACCCGAAAAGTAACATATTGTTTCGATTCCCATTGCGTCCGCCATATTGTTTGATTAAATATTACACCTGGTTTCTAATTAAATGAGGGTAATTTTTCGATGAAAGTATCCGCTGGCTCGTTCTCGCTCATTGGAAATGGGTGACATTTCGACAACACGATCTCGTCCCCGAATGAAGGATTATCATAACTTCTCAAATGCGACAAAATGAAGTATAATCATTCAACATCGAGATGACCGTGAATCCAACGGTAGACTGGAGATACTAAGGTAGCGCAAGTCACAAAGTAAAAAATGGCGGCGAAGAAGGCGTCCAAGAACAAAGATGATCTCGATGCTCTGCTACAAGAAGCAACAAGTTTGTTTGGAGAAAAAGAAATATCACGGAAGAGTAGAAAAGGCCGGAGTGATTTGGAATTTTATAGGGACTCCACCACTGGTTTGAAGAAATACAAGCATAAGTATCGGCCTCGCGAAAAAAAGGTGACGAATGCGTCGCTCTGCAGTGCAACAGAAGAAGGTGAATTTACAATATTTTTATCTTTTGCAACACGATATCCCCCTAAAATTAACGAATACAGTTAATTGTCAAAACGCCTTAAATTTACTAGAATGATTAATCCAATGTTCCAAACAAGCTGCTGGCCATGTTGCCTTAACAAAGCTCATGCAAGTTTTATTTGACTCAAACCTTATAGATTGCGATCCGAGTTTAGATTTGGGAGATGATGATGTACAACCTACATGTCATGAGATGTCACCACCATCAATTGTCAAGCGTAAGTTTTGTTTGGGACAGAATGT